CCCCCCCCCCCCCCCCCCCCCCCACACACAGAGAGAGAGGAAGAGGCTGTGCGTGTTGTGCACACACATGTGAGTGAGGTGGTGTGTGTGTGTGTGTGTCTCAATCAGGCGATCGTGAAGCGGCTCAAGACTGATCCGCAGCGGCGCGCCCAGGCCAGGGATAGCAAGAGCACCGAGTTAAAGATATTTCAGCAATACAACAAGAAGCTCAAGTGCGCGCTCGAGCAATGGGCACACTTGCAGCTTGACAATGGGCTGCACTGCACGGATGGTGTGTGTGTGTGTGTGTGTGTGCAGGGAGAACCTCCCGAGGCTGCTTGACCAGACCGACCTCATCATGTGTGTGACATCCACAAGACGAGACACCCCCCAGAGAGAGAGAGAGGGTGTGGTGTGTGTAGGTATACGGAGAAATTGCTGGAGAGGGCGGACGTGCGTGGCCAGGTGCAGCGCGAGTTCCCCTTCGTCTTCTGCGACGAGGTCAGCTCGACAGGCACATATGCACAGTTGTCGATCGATGGGCGTGTGCATTCATATCCCCCACCCCATGTGATGTGATGTGTGCGTCGAATCGATTCAGTGGCAAGACACAAGCCTTGCCCAGTTCAGCATCATCGCAAACGTAACGAACAACACCTGCCTGCCTGCCTGTCTGTCTGTCTGTGTATATATATATATATATGTATATGTGTGTGTGTGTGTATGTCCGTCTCTATGTGTGTCGTCTGTCCGTGTGCTTGGCCTCTCTCTCTAGGTGTTCAACCCCCAGTGTGGCAGTGTGAGTGTGGTTGGCGACGACGACCAGGCCATCTACGCCTGGCGGGGCGCTGAGGGACGGGTAGGTGGGGGGGCGGGGGGCCACACACACACACACACCCCACACATAACCAACCGCCATGGGTGTCTGTGTGTTGGAACGGCTGTGTGCAGGTGTTTCAGAAGTTCAAAGAACGGTTTGAGAACCACATCACACTCAACCTATCATGTGTGTACGCCCACGCAACAAACCACACCCAGCTAAACCGCTCAGAGAGGAGAGGATGGGAGAGAGGGACAGCGAGAAAGAGACACTCCAGAACACACACCACACCTGCCCCATAAATACCTCTCTGTCTCTCGCCCTCCCCTCCCCTCCCTCTCCTTATGCCTGCACCTGTAACTAACACCCAGGCAACTGGCGGTCCACACCCGAGATCGTGCACACCTCGTCTACTCTCATTTCCCACACCATGTCGGAGGAGCGTAGCCCCAAGGACCTGCACACGACCAACGACAGCGGCCCGCCCGTCGAGTGGGACATCCTCAGCCACGCCACCACCGAGGCCAAATACATTGCCGACAAGATACTCACCATCAAGCGGGATGAACAACTCGTAAGTTGGGCCAATGTGTGCGTGTGTGTGTGTGTGTGGAGTGTGTGGGTGTCTACAGGCGTGGAGCGACTTTGCCATCCTGGCGCGCACCAACGCCGTGTTGGACGAGATCGAGCGTGTGCTCGAGAACGCACCCATCAGTGGCGGGCAGGGCAGCATCCCGCTGGAGAAGTCGAGCAAACGGAGACACATGAGCGCATTCAACAGAGCTGAGGTGACATACAACACAACACAACACACCGAATACGCACCCCGCCCGTGGATTGGATGGCCTGTCTGTCTGTCTGTCTCTTTGTGTGTGTATCGGTATGGGTATGCAGGTGCTGGACATCCTGGGCTACTGCCGTCTGTTGCTCGACGAGGACCACGACCCTTCATTCCTGCGTGTCTTCAACAGACCCTCTCGCCAACTCGGGAAGGCTGCCCTCAAAGCACTCAGTAAGTAACCATCCAGTCAACACAACACAATACACCCACAATCCACTGTGTATGTGTGTGTGTTTCCAATATAGGTTTGTATGGCGCGTGTGTCGACACGAACAAGGGTGGTGGCGGCAAGAAGCCCACGGACGGCTTCGCCGAGTGGCTGCTCGAGCAGGCCATCGCTGCCACACAGACACAGCAGCAGCAGCAGCAGCAGGACGAGGAGGAGGAGGAGCAACAACAGCCAGCAGCGGCTGCGGCAGCTGCTGCTTGGGCCGGCGGCCAGCAGAAACAGACGAAGGTAAACGGACCACAAAACACAAAACACGTAAGACGATCAGCAACACATATGCCTTCTGGTGTGTGTGTGTTGTGTGAAGGGTGTATCATTGATGTCTGCTGCGCGTTCACTGTGTGCTGGTGGTGGTGTGGGTGGCGACAATGAGATGGAGGTGGATGGCGTGAGCAGGCAGGCCATGCGCACAGCCACTCGGGGGCTGCGCGAGTTCATCAACCTCATCGACGACATTCAGGAGAGCCTTCAGGCTGTAAGATAGCTTTTACAGACAAGTGCGTCTGTGGCATATATGTGTGTGCACTCTCTCTCTCTCTCTGTGTGTGTGTGTGTGTGTTGTGTGTGTGTGTGTGTGTGTGTGTGGCATTGTGTGCAGAGAATGAGTGTGCGTGGCGTGTTGCTGAAGATCATAGAGGACACAGACTACATCGCAATGCAGCTGCCCCTCGCAGCACAGCTGTTCAGCGCCACAGGCACCAGACACGCCCGTGGTGAGTGCTGCGAGACGCATGCAAACACACACACACCCATCTCTCTCTCTGTCTGTCTGTCTGTTTGTCTGTCTGTTGTAGGTGGGGCGAGCAGCAGCAGCGCCAGTGCGGCTGCGTCGATGAGCGATCAGCAGCAGCAGAGGGCCACCAAGGAGGAGAAGGAGATGGAGGCCCTTGACGCCATCCTCTCCGTCCTCTCATTCGCTGACCAATACAAACCCAACGACACACAAGTAAGAAACAAGAAGAGCCAACCAAACAAGCGCCTCCCTCTACACCTCTCTCTCTATCCCTCTGTCCCTCTCTCTCTCTCTCTCTGTGTGTGTGTGTGTGTGTGTGTGTGCGCGCGCATAGCCGACTGGCCGTGACTGTCTGGTGTGCTTCCTCCGGGATGTGACATCCGGTTTGTTTGAGCAGGGGAAGAAAAAGAACGTCGTCACTCTCAGCACTGTGCACCAGGCGAAAGGCCTGGAGGTCAGCCAACCTCACCTGCCCCCACCACAGACGCATACGCCTGATCTCTCTGTCTCTGCTCTCTGTCTCTTTGGGTGTGCGGATCAGTGGCACACAGTCTTCCTGGCGCGCTTCAATGAGGTCGGCCCGCACAGACATAGGGAGAGAAAGACATACGCACAGACACCCACCTTCGTGAAGGCAGAAAGGAATGGTCTCTGCCCTTTTATCGATATACGGTCAATCAGGGTGTGCTGCCGTCGGGCATGATAGACTCCCACGAGAAAATAGACGAGGAGAGGAGAGTCGCATACGTGGTGCGTGCGTATGAAGGACAGACACCTGACACAGACAGACAGACCGCTTCCCCCTCCACGCCACGCGCCCTCCACGCCACGCGCCCATCTCTCTGTGGCGTGCAGGCGTTCACCCGTGCCAAGATGCGTCTGGTGGTGACGTGCTGTCTCAAGGAGGGCATGGGCCAACTGATGCCCTCACGATTCGCACAAGAAGGTAGGAGGGAGCCCCCTCCCTCCCCCCTCCCCCCTCCCCCTCTCTCCATCCCCCCGCCCATCAGTCAGTCACACATGCATATCTTCCTCTCTGTCTGTCTGTCTGTCTGCAGCTGGCTTCATCGAGTCGCCAGAGGGCGCCAACGCAGCGGCAGCAGCAGCGGCAGCAGACGCAGAGGACGGTGACGGTGATGGTGACATGTTTGCTGACGGCATGGATCCCTCCCCCCGGCCGCCGGGCATCTCTGGCCACTACCCCGAATTCGGACCACCACCACCTCCTGCTGCTGCGGCGGCAGCTGTGCCTGTCTACCGCAGACCCCCGGCACCACCCAGACCAGCCCCTCGGCACAATGGACAGCCCCACCGGCCATTCCACCACCAGCAACAGATGACGATGCCGCCCAATCCCCCACGCCCCCGCATCCAGCGGCCGCAGCCGAACCGATTCCCCCCTCGCCCTCACCTCAATGTCAATGCCAGCGGCCCCATCCACCAGCACCAGCAGCATCGTTTCCCCTCTCCCCCAAATCGCAATCCCAACGGGCCCACGCAGCACCAGCATCGCTTCCCACCTCCCCCTGCTGCAGCAGGTGGCAGCGTTCGTCCCCTGAAGAGTGCGATGAAGGCCGGGAGGAGCAGAGATGAGGGCGGCGATGGGATGATGGAGGCTGCGGACGAGCACGAGCAGGAGGCCAAGAGGAAGAGGGTGACTTTCGACGGTGCTGATGCGGAACCGAACCCATTCGATGCGCCCGCCCCTGCTGCTGTTGGTATGGCGATGCCGGTGGTGCGTGGGGGGCCAGGCCCTTTCCGTCACGTCGCGGCCCGCCACGGTCCTCCTCGCCCCTTCCGACCGCACCAAAGACCCCCACAGAGACCCCCACAGAGACCCCCATTTCGACCGCAGTTGGGTGCTGGTGGTGTGAGGAGACCCCCTCCGCCCCCCTCCCACATGGTGAGTCGACCGTATGCTGCTGGTGTCAATGAGTGCGGTGGTGAGGTGTCGATGGCTGCCGGTGGTGGGATGAGCAGCAGTGGGGGTGGTGAGGGTGGGGGCGGCCAGGCTGCTGCGCCGGCACAGCAGACTGCAGATCAGCAGGATTTGGACGACTTCTTGAGAGAGTGTTGTGGGATGGACGATGGGTGAGAGACGTCCAGACAGACAAACGGACAGACAGACACCCGTGGCGGCGTATGTGTGGTGTGAACGTGCTGACTGGGTGTGCTGTGCGCCACCGATACGATCCTTCCGTGAAAGCGTCTGCGTGTGAGTGAGGAGGGAGGGACGTTGTTTGACCAAAAACGCCATGTGAGCACACACACACGCACACATGGACGCGTCTGCACATCACGATGATCAAATGGACACACAGACAGACACGAGCAGACAAACACACCCCCACAGAGACGACATCACCAGATACCGCATCGACATATTGCGATAGCCGCACACTCACACTCACACTCTCACCCTCATACTCACACACATCGCACTCCCACAGAGTGAGTGCTGGAAAAGTGCCCTTGCTGGTCCGGTCGCCCGTCGGTCGGTCAGCAGTGCGATCATCCCATGTCGGCTGTCTGTGTTCGCGACGCCCTCATGCAGCTGCACACCTGCGCCAGCTCGTCGGCTGCACAGACATCTAGTTGCGTAGGGGCAATGCAACACACAGATGGCCGTTACCTCCCTCGATGGGCGACTGATTGATGCGACAAAAGAGGAGGCATGTATGTGTGCAGACCCCTCTCTCTCCACCAACACTTCTTACAAACCATGCCGTCATCTGCTGCCTGTCTGCCGCGGCCCCCTTGGTAAAGGGGGTGGCGCAGCGCTCTGCTACAGGGAACGAAACGAACCGAAAGGTGACTCGTTCTGGCCCTGTCTGTCGCACAGCACCCCGCCACCGTCTCCACACCAGCGGCAGCAGACCAAGGGCAGCAACATCGATCCACACCCACTCACTACCTCTTCTTCCCTTACCACCTTCCTTCCTGTCTTCCGTGCTATCTTGTTTCCTCTACTCGTACTTACTTGGTTGACTCACCCAACCAACCAACAGGCACTCAGATATCATTGCCAGGCAGGCAGACATGGCAGACATGGCAGGGTGGACCAGAGTGCAGGGCCTCACGGCCGCTGCTGGTCGGCTGGCGGGCTGGCTGAGCTGGCTGGCTGGCCCAAAAGTCTGCAGCTGCATTGCATTCAATGAACAGTATGAAGGAAACGCATCAAAGAAACGGAAAGAAAGGATTGGCATAATGGTGTGTTGTGTTGTGTGTGTATGTGTGCAGCAAGGAGGAGAGGGAAACCTATACAGAACCAGTGTTGTGTGAGGGACAGAGGGGATGAGTGGGTGCCTATGGGCGAGCAGGGATTATCTTTAACCGTACAAAGACACACACACACACAGACATACACTCAGACAGACAAAGAGGCAGGCAGGGGCGCCCATATGGCGTAGAAAATGGTCAGTCATCCTGGGGCTATCTGCCCCTCCCGCCCACCCTCCCTCCCTGCCTCTCCCTCTCGCTCTATCTAATTAAATTAACAGCACCAAAGCCATGGCCAACACCAACAGCAACACAAACACCAATCAATACATCACTCAATCCGACCTAAGTACACACCTCCTACCTGCACACACCCTCACAAAGACACATACACAAAACACCCACCCTAGCCGCAACCATGCCATGCATCCATATGTGAAAGAAAAACGAAATCATCCCGCTCCCCTCCCCTCCCCTCCCCGAAGCATGAAGGAAACGTTGCTGGATGGATGTATATGGATGGACAACTTCATGCGGCCCCGCTCGCGCGAGAACCGATTCGGTCGCACACAGATGAAGGAAGCAAGGAAGAAATGAAAGACATCACACACATGCATACATAGCATACACACACACGCGTCAATGCGCCCGCGCACAGACAGACAGACAGGCAGACAGACGCACTATGAGTCGTCTCGCCCCTTGGGTGGTGAGGACCGCCTCCTCGCGGCTGCTGCTGCCTCTGTGTCGGTGTCGGTGGCCCCACTTCCGCTGTCGACTGACGCCCTCTGCGGCCCGCCCTCCCACCCGCCCTCCTCGGTGTCATCATCATGACCGCACTCATAATCCTCACGACCGTCATCCGCCTCATCACTGACCGCCCGACAAACACAGAGCACAGAGAGAATTCTCGCAATCGATCAGTGCTGTCATGTCAGGGAGGGAGGGGGGGGGGGCTATGCGTACATGTGCGGAAAGGACGATGCAGGCGACATCTTGCCGGGAGAGGAGCCCGACCGCCCCGACAGGCTCGAGAGGAACGAGTGCAGAGGTGACCTCGATCGCAAAGGAGTGCCGCCCCCAGTGCCGTCGTTGTTGGTGAAGGGCTTCAGAGACCGCTCCACTTGGGCGGTGATGGCCGCCTTGATAGCCTCGGCTGTGAGCTTGACACGGTCGGGGAGGAGCCGCTCGCAATCTTCCGCTTGCACCTTCTGTAGGTAGCTGATGCCTGTGTGACGGGAGGGAGGGAGGGAGGGTGAGAGGTGGCGGGGCTGAGGGGGGGCGGGGGACATTCTATGCGTACCTGATTCGACGGCTGCTTTTGTCTTGTCACGGAGGGCCTCTGCGAAGCGCTGCAGCTTCTGTAGACAAACCACACACAGACAGAGAGACGGACGGGCGGCATATGTGTGTGTCTGTTTGGATGGATAAGCGTGTGTGTGTCTGTCGGGGTGTGGTGTGGTGTGGTGCACACCTCGTCGTATTCGTCGTTGGCGAATGACGCCTTAATGGAGCACTCGCCCAGCTCACGCTTGTACTCATGAGTGCTGATCGGATCACCAAACCTGATCACACGCGCAACACAACACAACACACCACACCACACAACACCACCACATGCGTTAAGCAGGCAGACAGACAGACCGACAGACAGGCAGGGTGCCTGTTGTGTGCGTGCTGGCTGTCACGCTGACTGACCAGAAGTAGACCCGTTGTGTCTCTGCTGGCGTGGGTACTTTCAAGATGGGAATGCTCAGCCCCGACCGGCCTATCAGCCAGTCGATCGGGATGTCCTGCACACACACACATGCCCATCCACAGCATCCATCCATCCAGCAGCGCTTCCCCCCCCTCTCTCCTCTGGTCCATCCATTCATTCTCCCCCACCCGGAGTATCTCGAGCATATCCTCGGTCCCCACCGAGCAGGTCGGCACAATAGTGCACCCCTCCTCGATGGCGATCTTGGCGAACCCCACCCTGTTGCCCCACAGCAGCTCGTACTTGCGGTTCTTCTTATTCTTCCACACCTCACGAGCGCCCCCAGGGTACACCAGAACGTTGAAACCGTGGCGCAGCATCAGGCGGCAGTTGGGGCGGGTGCCCTCCACCGCACCCATCATCTCGAACAGGTGACGATGGCCCGGCAGATAGAAATGCACCCGGTCTGTATGTGCCCACACACACACACAAACATGCATGTGATGTCTGGATGTCACAGTGTGTGTGTGTGTGGAGTGGGCTGACCGCCAAGGCCTCTGAGGAACATGTTCTTGAGCCTGTAGACGCCCTCGATGAGCAGTGGCATCTCCAGGCCCCACAGGGCGTGGTTGCTCACAAACAGCAGCCGGTGCGTCTTCTCGTCAGGAATGCGATCCAGCCCATAGAACTTCCAACACACCAACACACCGACAAAGAAATGCACTCACTGTCTGACTGGTGTGTGTGTCGGTCTGTGTGTGTGTCTGCAGCCTGACTGACCTTGGGCGACACGAGCCACTTGTAGGGGACGAGTATGGGTGCGAGCGTCTCGAATGTGGGCGGCTGCCACTCGAGGATGTCGCGGGAGGCCGCCAGCTGCTCCATCTGCATGACGGCCTCCTCGTTGTGATAGCACAGGTAACACAGCTGACGCAGCACCCCGAACGCAAACACATTCGATGCACTCAGCCACATATCCACCACCTGAGCGGACAAACAGCCAGCACAGCAACACAAGAGCGCTCTCTCTCTCTCTCTCTGTGTCTGTGTCTGTGTGTGAGTGTGTGTGTGTGTGTGTGTGTACCAGTGTTGTTTTGTCAGGTGTGACCAGAGTCGGCACCCAGTGGTTGAGGCGGCCGATGCACCATACCAGCAGCGACAAGGACGCCACGACGGCCACTGTGAGGGCCTTGATGGGAAAATGTGACTTGGAGACCAGCCGGATCAGCAGCCGCTTGGGCGCCAAGTTGATGGGGAAAAAGAAAATTAAGGCCGAAGCCGCGTGCACCCCGAAGAGGCACACCTGCACACACATACACACACACGCACACACACACATCACACTCCGATAGGCTGTGTGTGTTCAGGTTGGTCCGCGGTGTGGTACCAGTGTTGTGTGGCAGAGGTCAATCATCGTCGTGACGTCACATCAGAGGATACAACACACGCCAGACTGACTCGACTCAGGAGATCTGTCACCCTTCCTTCTTATCCGCTGTGGGCTATCTGATGCCCAGCGTCAACCTGAAGTCACACAACACAACACAACACAACACAGCAGGGTATTCCTTCCCTCAGGTATCGCGGCTTCTCCTTCCGCCGAGATTTCTGACTGACCTGGAGATCTCGCTTATCGAGGAGCGAACAGGAAGGCTCACATACAGCCAGAAAGTCAGCTCACTCTTCGTCCTCTCCGCGGAGGAAAAACCTACGCTCTCAAGCTTAGCTCGCAGGAGAGGCCCGAAGCTCGCACCTGGGGATGGCTTCGGACGGATTATAGAGCAAAGGCCTCCACTGGGTGTTTCCTTGTCGAGCAATGGGCGACCGGAGCTATCTGCTTGGCCTTCCTGACGATGTTTCCCTCCAGCTGCTGAGGTATCTCAAAGCCGACAGCTTCGGCGCCCTCCGCGCCACGTCCAGAAGCGTCGGCTGGCATCTCGTCAGTGAGGACTTCCTCACGGGCCGCCTCGACGCCGCCATCCGCACCAACGGCCTGGACTCCGTGCTGTCTTACCGCAAGCGACACAAGACGGCTCAGGCGTTCCTCCGGCACTCTGTCAAGGCCGCCTGCAGCGCCCTTTCAACTGCCATCGGCCATCTCGGCACCCTCGCTGCGATGATCATTGGCTTCTTCATCGTTGTCGGCATCCTGATAGCTGTCATTCTGTTGCCGATGCAGTGGCTGGTACGAAATATCCTTGCCATCTTCGTAGCGGATCACTGGCTGGTCACTGCCACGTCCAAGTGGGTTGTTCCGTTTTTTGTCGGGCTTCCTGTGGGCATGATCCTTCATTGGCGGGTATTCATTACGGAGTGGGCACGGCGAGATGTGGACACGGTGATGGAGAAGATGATGTATTTTGAGGACGCCTTCGTGTGGGTCGCTCGCCTCGTGTGGGGTGGCCTGCGGCTGGCAATCGGGCTTGACAAGGGGATGAGCCACATCGAGTACCTTATGCGGCTGCTGTACGTCATCGAGGAGGGAGGCTGCTGGGAGCCCATCGTGCCGCTCATCCACTTCATGAAGAACTGCGGGATGATGGCGTCTCTGCCAATCGCCGTTACTGCCGATGACTTGAAGGCGGTGGGCAGCCGGGCCGTGTTTGACGCGCGGCCGGGAGCGGTGCGGCAGTACTCACTCTTCAGCCGTCGGTTGATCTCCACCTTCCGAGTGGGCCGTGATGACAATCAAGACTGCCTGGGGTCGAGCTCACAGCCTATGACATACCACACGCCCGGTGTGGTGCCTTCTGCCGCATGTGACCCGCCCACCAAATGTAAGCCAGTCAGCACATAAAGGCGATGTGATCTTCCTGGTCTTCGACGTGTTGGTCTGTGTGCCTGCCTGTCTGTCTGCCTGTCTGCCTGCAGCTGGAAACAGAGCGTACTCATCGTTCACCGACCTCATAGTCCACTCAGCTTACCGTGACCGGCACGACGGGCGCGTCATGATCAACCTGCTGGATGGGGACGTCCTCATGACGAGAGGTGCCGAGGAGCAGCTGGCTGCGGAGGTGGGCGCGCCGCCGAGCCCCACCTGGCGAGGCTATCACAAGGCGGCCGAGATCGAGGAAAGGAAGAAGACGATTGTGATTCTGTGTGGAGACAAGTCCATCGACGACTTCGCTGTCTACTTGACGGTGTACGGCAGCACGTGCTTTTCTGTCTTCACAACGGAGCGATCCGCTCGCGGCAAGAGGGGCGCAGCGCTTTACCCACGCACAGTGGCACTCGTCCGTGGTGTGGTCAAGGATGTGCTGAATGCGTAGGCTGCGATTTGGCTGTGGCGCCAGCCGTTTGGGCCGGGCCTTCCCCAGTGTCATTTGGGCGGTGCTGTTGTGATAGTGTGTGTGTGGGTGCGGATTGCATGCTTCAGTGGGCTGGATGGACAGTGCATTCAAATGGACGCGCCACAGTTGGATGGCCAGGATGATTATATGTTGAGTACGTGAATACATGAATCCGTCAATCGCATTACTGTCACTTTACTGTCGTACCCATACACATAGCCAGAGTCACAGCCCAGCGCACCCAGCAAACCCGGGCATCACTCAAGACAGGTGCTCTCAGCCATTCCTAAGCCACCACACTCAGTCGCAATATAAAATATAGGCAGCGATTCTTCAGCTACATGAACACGTCACATGACATGACACGTCATCGCCTCTCTTCCCAGCCATATACTCACACATCCCGCTCGCCACTCCTTCCAATTCATGTGACATACCTGGCTCCTCATGTGATCCACTTTGATTTCTCGCAGCGTCGTCAGCCAGGAGCTTATCCTCACTCGGTTCTGAAAGAGAAGAGACAAATTTCTATCTGTCTGTCCATGCGTCTCTCCATGTGTCTGTCTGCCCTCTTCTGTCTAGCTGCCATACCTGACTCAAATGACAACCAGCAAACAATCCGTGACAACCGTATACGGCCCCGGTGCCTACATGCATTGGCACGACATATGATGTGCCGCCTTTCATCATATTTCTGTTTCCCTGTTTACCTCTCTTGCGCGACTCAACACTAAAGATTTCGCGTCCTGCTCAAGTGAGTCCTTTCGCAGCTGCTCTATCCTCTCCTGTATCAGCGCACGAGTGTGTGCCTTTAGTGAGTATGTGTATCCTTCCCACCTACCCTGTTGTTCCTCCTTTGCCATAGTGTCATTGAAAGATGTGTCTGACCCGTGTCTTCTCGTGGCGAATGGTGCACCAGCTTTCGCAACCCATCTTCCTGCAGATCGCACATCAGCATAGAACAAACAGTTCTGGTTTCGGCATGTCCCTCACCAGTCTTCTCGCCTCCTCAGGCACTGCCTCCTCCTTCAAATGGTCGATCATTTCCTGCATCCGTACAGAGAGAATGCCCTGACAGCTGCGTGTTGTCTGCTCACCGTCGCCCTCCTCTTCCTCCACAAATGCAACGCGAATATATGCGTCATCATTGTGTCATTGGTGATGTTCATTACGATACCGAGATGCTGCATCACCCTCTGCAGCCCTTCCCGCTTGAGATTTCTTATAGTCTCGCTGACGAACATCCAATTTTCGGTCTCCTCATCTGCGTCTTGCCAGATGGGCAGCCATTCGTCGACTTGAAAGGCCTCGAGCTGGTTCTGCAGTCTATGAAATGCCCTACAGACTCATAATGGAAGAGGAGGGAGACACGCCATACTGATTGCAGGCCTACTAGTGATGCGTCTCATCTTTTGCGGGGCCTACCGATATGTGTCAAGGCGGCCCGCCGAATCTTGGAGCTGCATTCTTCGAAATCGTGCAACTCAATGAGTTCCGTGAGCTGAGCATACATCGACACTCGCAAAGTATACGGTATGCTGCAAGCGCTTTGAGGCATTTTTACCTGGATGTCTAAGTGTGTGGCAATCTCTTTTTACGAGAGACGCACATGGGAGAGATGCACACACAAGTATGGTGTGTCTGCATGTTTCTCTGCAGCCTGTGTCTCCCTGTAGCTTGCCTGCATGTCTCTCACCTTCTGCTTTGGTCTTCTCTAGCTTAAGGAAAGCTTTGGTCTTGTCATTCCCCTGATGGATGAAGTAGGCGACGGTGAACGCGGTGAGGCGGGCCCAAGAGAAGAGCACGTGGATGAACTGGTTGTACATCGAGCAGCACTTGATGACTTCCCAGTCATGGGTTGCACGGATGTCTTCAGCCAAGATAGTCTCATCTTCCTCTTTCGCCTACTTACCTCTCTCGACCGATTCCAGACTAATCACTTGCCTCCTCTGATATGGCTTCCCTCCTCAGCCTCTCAATAACCTCCTATTCCAGTCAGTACAGACAAAAGGCTGCGCGTACCTTATCTCTCTGCTTACCTCGTGCAATGCAAAGACGTGTCTCATGTGTGTGTTGTTATTGATATTTGCCTCCTCTCCGACCTCACGCATAAGCTTCTGCAGCCCCGCGCGCTGCAAATTTCGGACGAGCTGAGCAACAAACTCCCAGCGATCCATCTCTTCCTGTGCGTCCTCATAGAGGCAGCCCCACGGGTCTACTTGGGTATTCTCGAGCTTCTCTTTGAGTTGGGAGATTGTCTTGCGAAGATTTTCTGCAGTTTCCCGTGCTACGCGTGGAAGAGGGAAGAGAGACATTGACGGGCTGTGTCTGTATGTCAGTCGTGTAGAACATGCCTACTGATCGATTTCAGGGCGTGGATGATGTGCTGGTACTCGACTTGCATGTCTGGGTTGCGCTCGGGGAGGCGTGAGGCCAATCCAGACAGCCGCCACTTGTTCCACCCCGTGCCAGCACCAAATAGCTTTCCGAGTCTCCTTCTTGCGAACTGGTGCCCATCAGCTGAAGCCAGATCAGCCGATTGGCCGCACCATTGGCAGCCAAAGCACAACACCATTGGCCACACCATGAACCACGTCTAGCTGTGAGCAATAGGGCTCGACGCTGATTCCATCTTCTCCCATAGCTCTTATGGTGAAGTAGGTCATGCCAAACACCGCAAAGTAGATGACCACTACTAGGTCGTTGATCTGGACAATGCCACCGTTGCAGAGACTCCAAATATAAAATGCAAGCAGCGATGGATGGATCCATCCTTTCGCTTTCTCTGCACAGGGCCACCCTGGTGCTGAGGCGGCTGCCGGGGGACATTTGGAAAGCCGGCCTGTGCAGGTGGCAAGAGGTTGGTGTCGGGCGGCACGTACTCCGTTGTGTATCCTGTCTCCCGCTCCACGCCCCTCGCCCCACCGATGAATGCTGCTACCTTCTCTTTCTCCTTGAACTCCGTGAGCCAACCGCCAATCGTCAAGCCGACCAGTTGGCATCGAATAAGGTCGACGGGAACGATTCGAGTTGCTCTAGAAGCGGTAGGATGGCTGGCGGAACCATGTGAAACAGCTCGGGCCTCTTGAGGCAGTCCAGTGGGCACACGCACCTTGTTCGTACCGTCTTCCAGGAGTATGTTATCTGACGGATGGATACATGCATGCATACACAGAGAGTGTGTGTATGCATGCCTCTTATGCACCTGCTGGATGCGCCTCACACCTACCTGGGTTGATGTCTTGATGCAGGCATTCGCGTGAGTGCATGTAGACAAGGGCCGACTGGAGCTGCCTGGTGATATGCAGGTAGAAGGAAGTGGGCAGGTGCTTTGTCACCGTTTTGTCCAGGCTGCGGCCCTGAAGACGGCAGTAACGCCGTTGTTCAGCATGATGCCCTCGCAGCCGCTGATGTTGGGATGGCTTAGCCTGGACAAATTGATCGCTGATGCAAACACACAGAGGGAAAGACAAAAGTCGCTCTCACTTCTTTCGTTTCATACCTTCGTTCGTGACCCACACCATTGGCCTGCGCCAGCTCCTGTCCTGAAAGGGCTCCTGCCAGGGCTCAAGGCCGTCGTCCTTCATCCATTTCATTATCTTCATTTTCCCGCCCTGGTCACGGAGCTGGAGCACCTCGCACACACCCGGCCTGTTGACACGGGCATGTGAGGGGTCCACCAGACACACCCTCTCATGCCCGACACCCCGCCGAATCCGACAACCGGTGCACCAGATGCGTCTGCGTCATGTCGTCGACACTCCTCAAATGCTGCTTGGTCGCTCCCCCAGGCCCGGTCGCTCTCTTCACCGATCTCTTCTGCACGGCAAAGAACGAAGGAGACATCACGTGCACACACTTACTTGTGTATTAGGCATGCCGTGGCGACCCATTATCAGCACCAAGGAGAGCAGCTCAACAGCAGCTCAACAGAGTATTCTGCACACCTACGTACACGGTTGATTCATGCATACTTTGTTCTCAAGGAGGACCTCTCGATCTCGGGCTGCCCGGGGGTCTCCGATGAGAAGATTCGGTGTCAGGGGGCTGCATAGAAGAATCAGGTGCTGGTTTCGGCATGTCCTTCTCCAGCTGGATACCTCTCGGGCCCTGTTGAATACCAGTCTTTTCGCCTCCTCAAGCACTGCCTTCTCCTTTAAACGGTCGATCACTTCCTGCATCGGTACAGAGATGGAATGCCCTGACAGCTGCGGATGTCTCGTGTTGTCCGCTCACCGTCGCCCTCCTCTTCCTCCACAAGTGCAACACAAATACATGTGTCGTCCGTGATGTGCATTGCGATACCAAGATGCTGCATCACCCGCTACAGCCCTGCAGGATATGCAGCTGCTGCTCACGAATGCGGGCGGGGCCATGGTTGGCGAGACGGGTGGCGTATGTCGAGGCAGTGCCGTAGCGGGCGCGACGGGTGGCGACCCCCTTCTGCGCCCGTATGCTGAGCTCCTCGGGCGATGGTGGATGAGGGCGGTCGTGGATGGGGTAGACGAGTAGCTCCGAGGTGAGGGCGGCAAACGTGGCAATGCAGAGCGCCGCAAACCCCGCGAGATGCTGGTCACACTGGAGGCCGGGGCACGATTTGGGCGCACGCAGCACACCGCCGTTGTACTGCTTGGAGCCAGGATGGGCCACCATGCCGACTACACATTCGGACCCGACCTGCGTTAAGCAACACGTCAACAAATCTAACGTGTGCCCGCCCACCCTGTGCTGACCTTTTTGAGGGCCTTCTCGTCTGCTGGTCAGCTACTGTGCCAACACATGTCACCGCTGCCGTGCCATTAGTGTGTGGCCGTGTCGATGTCCCAGCCAGCCTCCTCGGCCGCAGCCAAGTTTTGGGATGCCGTTTCAAGTCTCCCTTTTCTCGCCACCCTCATCCAAACCCTAACCCTGAAACCCGAGAAGTGGATGTGGAAGTGGACGTCCACTCGGCATCGCGTCAACTTCCCCAACCACTTCTGTTTTTCCTAGTTCTGTGCGTTCCGCATACCTTCGAATAGTCTCGTGACACAAGCGTGTTTGTTCTTATTCCAGTGTTTGCTTCTGAGCATCTTTGCTACTCATCGCCTGTCCCTACCTGTCATCCATCGGGATCAGCAACAACAACAACAACAACAGCTGCCACCATGGTCAAGAAATTCGACTATGCCTCCCACTGCGGACTGTTCGTCGTCCACCCGGTTGGCGTCATCACCGACACCGTCATCAGCAAGGGTGACGACAAGCCAGCCCCGCCACCCACGCGTGTGCCACTGGTGAGTGGACACCAACACACACACTCTTATGTCTTGCTGGCCGCACAAACACGGTGTTTTGTCGTGCCCCTCCCCCCCCCCCCCCCC